TTTCACAATTGGGTCAACTAAATTAACCAAATCTGCCAAAATCAACTTAATATAAATGGATTTGGCAATTATTAACGTACATTCCATTGCGTGTCCTAATTCTCCAACCATGAAACCCTATAACCACCGTTTTCGTAGGAAAACATGCGGGGAGTAGGAATCAACGAGTGGGCCTAAATAAGCTACTGTTGCCCATTAATGATGAGTAATCCAATCAAAATGTACAAAATTATCTGAGAAGAATTTTCATCAGCTGAACAAATGTGTTCTGTGTGTAATAACGCGAGTATAAAGCAAGGTATTGTTGTCAGAAACAGTCACAATCAACTACGCTTAGGAAATCATTGTCTATTAGCGATGCATGCCATTGTGCAGCAACCTCTTCAACTACTTTAACACTTATCTCCTCTGCTTTCCTGACTATTTTCTAATCCATATTCCTCACAAGGCATGAAACCTAATAAAATTGCCGGGGTAAATGTTGACAGAATATATTTAATAAACAAGTCGGCCAGTCACCCATGCGTAAACGCATTTGTCGGCCATATACAAACGCAACTCACTATGGTGTTATAAAATATGTTGCGAGGCCCGTAAATCTTTGTCGCGAGTTACTACTACCATTTCTGTGCATTTATTTTCTCGGGAATTTTAAAAGGGCACATTAAGTCGGCTGCTGTGGGACACATATGCCACTTCATCAACATCTATCTCACACACAAGTCTTTGATTAGTCAGAGAAATATCATTTTAAGTTAAGGACATGACAAGCGAGGATCACGCTCTCGGCATCTCCACATAACAGAAAAACATACTGCACGATAGTTTGCGCGGTATAAGTCATAACTGGCTGTGCAGAGCACTTAGTCTGGCGACCGTGTGGACATTTTTTTGCCGTCAGAAAACTAAATAGTTGCCACTTTCTTATCACAGAAATAAATACACCGACAGAAATCAGTCTTGCCTTTGATGCTTTGCAGTAGCTTCCGGTTGACGTCAACTGCCTATCTTTTTTACGACTGTCTGATAAAAGAGTATACATTCGGAGCTTTGGCTTGTCCGCATTGCCTGCTATGCTGGGATTTATCAGTATACAACAAAATCCCTTGAAGTAGTCGGGGAAGCTGTCGCCATTTACGCCACTTGGTCATCTTTTAAACAAAACTATTGAAAATCGTCTAAGTCTTTCAGCTTACGTTATGCCCAAAATAAACCTGTCACAGTTATTTAAAGTTAGCACAAGAAATGGTGATGTATTAGTGCAAGACGGGGCCCATTTTTAATTGGTTTCTTCGTTATCTATCAACATGATATTACCATTCAGGACTTCCTTTATTCGCAGCCATGCGTTTAGAGTGTTTAATGAAATGTATCGGAACAAACTCCTTCCAGTGTAGGCTTTCAAATAATCCTTGAGAAATTCATTAAGTGTGGTCTTAGGTACTACCATAGGTCTGACAATTATTCGCCCATCTAAAGCGCCGGCTTGTTTCCAAATAATATTTTTTAAACTCCAATATCTAGGACACCTTCTGCGGTAACGATTGACATGCTACACTCGCGAGTGTTTAGGACAGGCGGAGCGGATTTGCTCTTGTTGTATGCGTTGGGCACTTTTCCACTATAGACAGCGAATATATTTTCACTGATTTCCAACAAAATAAAGCAATGTTATGAAGTTTTTACAAGGTTGTCTCTGGGAGCTCTGACCTGAAGGCAGCCTAAGTACTTTTTACAAATAACTAGGTAGTCTACTCATAAAATCCAATGATATTTACAAGTAACTCCCTGTAACACACACACACCCAAGCCTGTGCTTCTCAAAGTCTTACAACAATAATGTAATTGTCATTCTTCAAAGTGGGGCGTATTGCTATTTATCAAAGAATATTACGTTGTTTAGAAATGTAAGTTTCTTTAGCAAAATGGAAAATTCCGAATCAGTGAAAATCGTACAGTTAAGTTTTAAATGTAGACGAGGCCTGCGCATTCAAAAAATGAATGGATAATGCAGCATGTAGAATTACGCTGGAAAATAATCCTCTTGTAAAAGTATCGGATACATATGCTTCCATATTACTTGCAATTTAATGTATAGCTGTTATCGAACAGACCAACGTTCGAGTATATATATCACTTGGGCCAATTTCTGAGGTTTTATAGGATTTTATATATGACTTTCTGTTTATTTAGATAAAGATAGCATGTTTTTATGTAAAAGTGGTCATCAATCCATTAAGAGAATTTCTATGAAACAGACATGGCCATAACAGAGTTTGGCCTCATCTGACAACACTAATTGAGCGGGGCCATTTGTTGACAGTGTATTCCAACACGGTTTCACGAAATTTGCTAGTTGTTTCTTCCGTTTTTACATTTCTTAAATTACGTTGGACTTACCCTATTTTAGCTTGATTTAACCAATTGGGAGGTCAAAAGAGTAAGATATTTCGTAAGCTCATGGACAGAAGTGCCGTTCAGTGAAAAATAGATTTAAATGGAATTGTCAGATGCAATCGGCAGCTTACCACTTTTTGCATACTGAGAGATTTCATTCCGCCATATTCCTCTTAAATTATTTTGGGAATTCGATTACGATGAAGTTCAGATCGCTCTTGAAACGACAACGAACCCTTTACGATTTTTACTAGCTTCTTTCGATTGACTAATGAATATATTCTAGGTGCTCAAAAACTTTAAAATAAGGTAGTTCTTAAAAGCATTAACCCACATAACTAATGTTTAAACATCACAACTGTCTGTTTGAATCATGGTTTTACAATCACTCAAAAATATCCAAGCATTGCAGGGAAAAATGAACGGCCACATCGACAGTCGCGAATAAGTATGCCTAAGATTAATTGAAAATATTTATATAACATGTTCCGTCTTGAAGAAGTACTTTTTTGAAGATTATGTGAAGATCAAAATGGTAAATTTTGTCAACTTTAAACCTTCCTAAAATTATGGATATATCTTCCGCTGAAAATGAAAGAACTCACCTTTCTCCGTATACCGGAGCGGTTTTCAATTAATTTTCGTCTAGGCTCAGATCTAAGATAAAAAAATCAGACCAGCGTGACAGAATATAAACGACGATTTTCAGAGAGCAAATAACATTCCGCCCGTTTCTTTTGAAAGTTTTCTATTAATTGACGCTGCTCTATAGACAGAAAATATTTTGACATCCTTTGCCTACGAATCGATAGAGAAAATTGACAGCATGCCTCGGGCAAAACAAAACTGTCTGTTCTCTGAACAGAAAGAACTAAAAAGTTAAAAAGCAGAGCAGGGTGGCAGAATGTCAACGACCATGTTGCGAAAACTTCTCTGGTCCGCTTTTTTTACCTAAGAACTGCGACTAGAAGAAAATTAATATACTGCGAGTTACCCCAGTAAACATAAAACATTAGTAGATCTATCCTTAATTTATATGGAAGTCAAAATCTCGCCAAAATCCTAATTTTAATCTTACTTTTATCCCCGAAAAGGGTAAAGTACACAGAAATTCGACGACTAAATACCCAAGCAAGGTGTTTTTTCCAGTATTAACTTGTTATAGGAAGTTTAATCTTAGGCATGTTCATTCGCGACCTTTGTTGTGGACGTTCATTTTTCTAAACTATGAGTTAATAAATTTGGGTGATTCTAAAACCATAAGCCAAGCAGGTGGCGACTTTTGAAGAATGTTTAAATACTCGTTATTTAGTTAAATGCTTTTAAGAAATATCTTATTTTGAAGATTGTTTTAAGCACAACGAACATAGTCCTTATTTGTGGTCAATCGACTAAAGCCACTTAAAATCGTGGAGTGTTAATTAGCATTTTATAAAAGACATGAACCTCGTCCAATTCGAAGTCCAATAAATTTTACATAGAATTTTTATTAGTGTACAAACAATGGTACGTTTAAAATTGTACCTGACAATTCCATTGAAACTTATTACTCATTGACCGGCATGTCCATAAGTGAGCCCACGGAATATCTTACGCCTGTGACCTCCTAACCGTCCAACTCAAGCAAAATTCTGGTTGCCTTAGTCCAACATAATTCAAACAATGTACAAACCGAAGAAACAACTAGCCATTCTCGTGAAACCGTGTTGGAGTATTCTGCCAACAAATGGCCCCGCTCAACTGGTGTTGTCAGATGAGGAAAATGCAGTCATGGCCATGTCTATCTACAATCTACTGCATGTGCTGGCTGTTATGTACGCAAAACAGAAGGCTGTTTGTGGGCAGGACGCCGACGGAGAACGGCAGACAACACAAGTCGCGAGTCTTGCTGACATGCCGGAGCACGTGGCATGGGGGGAATTTAATAGGCTAACGGGTAGCCACTCAGGACAGAGGTGATGTGAACACGCGTCCGTGACCTTAGCCGGTTTCCTGTGTCGCCCCGTACGCCGCATCGATCCACTCTAAAGTTGACAGCATCGGGAGAAGACGGGAAACAGTAAAGCGGAGAATCGGTGGTTCTGCGGGCCGTTAGTTAGTGCCGTCCGTGGTAGTAAAACGAGGGGAAAAATAAACCTCGCTGGCTGCCTTTTCTTCTGTGTGGACAGTAAGTTTTCTGGCCTCAGGACCGAAGCATCAATGCGTTAAGTTTCTGCCAGTTCTACATTCCCGAGTCGTTCATCTAAATTGTCCCTGCGGCTGCAAATTTAAGCTAGATTTCGACGAAGGGCTCTCCTATCTTCTCACGTTAATTCGACAAAATATCCCTCGCTTCTTAGAACTCACACTGGACAGCAGTCGTGTGTAGAAAATTTGGTTTGCACGTCATAGCGCGCTTTCAAATGCAGCTGTCTTTCAATGACTTTATCATACATTGAATGATTTCACAGATCAAGTCCTATATGCAAGTGTCTTTTTAAAATCAACTATGCGATCGAAGAACCGGTTGAGTCGTTTGGTGTTATTCGTTAGCTGGAAAACAAGCGTGACAGTTTTGTAAATAGGTTCGCTTGTGTCTGGTTGGTTAGGCGCTATTTTATTTTCTAAACTGTGTGCTCTGGAAGGCTCTTTTGAAGTCACCTGTTATGGGCCAGTGGTTAAATGCCTACTTCTGTTCTTTTCTCCCTATATTCTTTACCTTCTACACCATTGTCTAAAACGATCAGTGAGGTATTGTAAAAGTAAAAAAAACGGATCATAACTTATTGATTGCAGCAAGTGACGAACAGGATTTTTCAGTCGAAATTGCTGCAATCCATTTATTATAGGCGTTTACCATCACCATGACCATATGGTCTTGGAATAGCTGCCAATAGTCAAAATATACATTCTTCCAGGTTGAGTTTTGCCACATCCAAGGCTCTAGAGGTACTTTAGCAAATTCTTCTGTATAGTCTGACCCACGTGCCAAGCCCTTACCATGTTTACGATACATACCTCGGCAACAGTAGCTTCTACGAGAACGAAGGTCAAAGGTTTTATGTGTGGGGAATAAGGTCACGCAGTGGAATATACGTTAATAATTGCCAAATCCATTTTTATTTTACTGTATTTAGAAGTGTTGTTTATTTACATCTGCTGATTTTCCTTATCTGCATTGTCGTTTAACTTATTGCGAAAAAACTCAATTATCAACTTGCAGGTTTCTTGAATTTCCCGAAAAAGTGAAATGGTGTTTAGGAGGTCGTCTACTTTAACTTACCTGAGGTCCAATTTACCGTTCTGGAGTTAGATCAGTATAGTCGGCGGCGCAAAGCGCCGCGCACACCTTCAATTTATATGCGGAACAACTTGCACACAGCTGCCGCAGGAAGCAACTTCGACTACATTTTTTCACTTTACACTTTCTTATAAAAAGTGGTTTCTCTGCCTATTTTATTTCCTTACCCCCCAGAACTCTATAACCACCGTTATTTTAAGACAAATGCTAGGACTAGGGGTATATGAGTGGGCCTGCATAAGCTGATTTTGTCCATATTTCAATTTAAGCCAAAAACAGCTATGAACGAGAGATTTCATTGTAACTACCATAAGGAGTATTATGCAGGTCACTGAGGATGACCTGTCGGCCACTGCACAATTGCCATATAGAATCAATTTGTTCTCAATACAACTGAAAATGTGAGTCCCTGGAAGTAATTGAGATGAAGAGATATGGTTGCGAAGCAAGAATTTCATCCGCCTGACGTTTCGGATTCCATCACGGATCCATCATCAAAGACAAACAATCAACACACCAAAATCCAGCATGGTTGCTGAAAGGTCAGCAGCTCACGAACCACATTCCAAACATCAAACAATTAGCGCACAAGCAGGAAATTATCCTCAAAAGACGAGAGCGCTTAATCGTCATAAGTAGCCTAGCGACTCTAGCCTATAAAAACTGAAGCTCCCTGTGTACAAACAAACCGTTTCTGCTATTGTCTCCGATGATGGATCTGAGACGGAATAAGAACCATCAGGCGAATAAAATCGCTGTCCCAGCAATCACATCTACTTTGTCTCAGTTCTTTCTGACAGCTGTGGAATGGCTGAGAATCAAGAGAAGCGGATGGTGGCCGGCAAGATTGCAAGCATTTTGTAACTGACTTAACAAATTGCCTTTTGATGTCCTTTATCTATTTTGCAAGAAATCTACAGTTGCAGAAGCAGGTGCTCCGCTTACGCTATTGGTTCTGAGGGGAAACCTATTCAAGGTGTTAGCCACTAGGTGTGCATTACCCGTAAGATATTTGAAGTCTAAGTGAATATGTCTAGATGTAAAGGGTGAGTGCGTAACCATGCATCCTCAGTGCGGACTCTTGTTGGATCCATTATTTTTCAGCCAGTAGACGTAAGAGAGGTTCGTCACTAGTCTGAATCTCGAAGGTTGGTCCAAAGGATACAAGTGAAGCACTCTATCCCAAACATTATTGCTAACGCTTCTCTATCTTGTTGGCAATAGTGGGTTTCCGCCTGGTACATAATGCTTGATGCAAAAGCAATCGACAAGAACGCGAAGTCTAGGACGGGGTCTCCAATAATCCTTGCGTCATTGAATACACTCTTTGGAATGGCGGATGCAAAATAGGTCTGAAATGAACCGAAAACTTTTCGCATAAGAGGGATCATGAATTATGTGGATAGAATAGCAAATTAGAGCGAGTTAGTCACAAGGATGGGCATAATGAAGGGGTGTTCGTGATAGTTCAAATATAGAGCACCCAGGTAACATGACCGTATTTATTAGTTAAGTTCTGAGTAAAACAGACGTCGTCTTGTTTGTAAGTCTATCCTAACAGACAATCCAAATAATCATTTATACGCTGCCCCTACTTAAGTCGAAAGTATGTCCATTTAAATGTTATAAACCTATAATGTCACAGTGCGGATTGCGTGTTTCCGCCTGCACAATCGGCAGACCACAGGTTTAAAATTATTTCCAATAGTTTTCAAGCATTCCCTGATAAACTTGGTGGTCTCTGTTTATTTTGACAACCGTTGCGGCAATCAGGGAGTATCGACTTCGAGCAATAACTGCGCAGATCGAGACATTTCTTTATGCGCCTTATTTTGGCAACTGGGTCAAACATTTTTGTAATTTACCGGACCATTTTGTTTCAACTGCAGCGAAATATCCAACTGAGAAAACATTTTGGCCACTTAGTGACACAGTGGCACATGAACAATTTTCTGCACTTCATACACACCAACACGGGCAGTAGCAGCAAGGATCTGGCACGCTGCGATTGGCTATTTTATGGAATATGGATTTTTTCAAGTAACGCCTGACGTCCAACATTCGGGCTTTGGCTGCAAGCGCAGTAGCAGTCGCTAAAGTGCAAGTGGGTAATTTGTAATATGACTCGCACTGAGTTTGGAATACCGAAGTTTTAGTTGCCACTGGAGTCAAGTGAATGCAGCATCTAAAACCTGCTGTTTGTTATCAATCAAACCAGCGAGGAATGGACACTTGAAACACTTTTAACGAGGTAAATGGTGAAAATGGAAGAGATGTCACCTTAGCATAGTGAAATAGATTGACAACGAAAATAAAACAAGTGCATGCATATAAGCAGCGTAAAAAGCACATATTTTATTAAATGAACTTTGTCGAGTTTGGTTCAGTCTCCTCAGATATAAACACTGCTGTTTATATCTGTTACTTTATGGATAAATAATTTGCCTGTCGAGTGCTAAGTTTAAATAAGTCTAAATTTTCCTCAGAATTCAACTATCCAAATGCAAATTTAAATGGAATCGACTTTTATATGACTATCGTTCTGAATATACAGTATGGCAAGGCCTGCAAACAACTTTCATGACGAAATTTACCTGGGCAGTCTAGCATCTATCTGGACAGGTTATTTTGGTCAACTGAGTAGATTTAATAATCAGAAGGGCTTTGGTTTGGAAAAATGCCATCTTACTTAAAGTTATGGAGCAAAAAAGGCACAAATTTGGACTAAATCATGAGTAATTTTTTACCGAACCAATTTCCTATGCTGTAAGGTATGACAAAAACAAAGTTCTTACTTATATATATTGTGCTGTGCATAAACTGATGAATAAGTAAAAAAGGTGGAAAAATTCTCCCTTCCAGAGCTGTAAAAGTTTGTGCGAAGTTAATCAAATGGAAGTGAAGCCAAGGTTAAGGAATCACATTTGATTTTAGAAACAAGCAAGTATTGAGGTTTTAAAAATTATGTTTAGTTATCCTATGAAGCGTTTTTGCACAAAATGCAATAACGAAGAAGTTTCGACGAAAAATTTGTTTTACCACACAACTGTCCCTGCGCATAAGAAAGCTTTGCCATATATGTTACCGTGAAGGTGATGTAAAGCAGGCCTTATTAAATGTGTGTCAGGTAGAAATATACTTTTTTGTAAAGAAAACGTTCCGCATATATGTTACAGTGCAGTCCAGTTAATGTGGACACCTCCGTTCCAGGCCAACTTTCCATATTAACCGGTTGTCCACATTAAGCGAACTGAC